ACTTCGGCAGCGAGGTCTGCGTCCTGGACGCCGACRGCGACGGCACCAGCGACGTGCTGCTCGTGGCCGCCCCCATGTTCCTGGGCGCCCAGAGCAAGGAGACCGGCCGCGTTTACGTCTATAGGGTGGGCCAGGTACAGGAATGGGGCTGGGGGCGCCTGGGGACGTAGGGGCGCACGGTGGGAATGGGGGAGGCAGTGGGAATGGGGGGATGCAGTGGGATGTGGAAGGGTCAGGAGGGACCCGGCCAGGTCGGAGGATGCTGCAGGGACGAGGGACGAGGCCGGGGGGTACCCAGGGCCGCTCGCTGTGCGCAGCGGCTCGTGGCGCCGGCCGGCACCCTGCACGCCCACAAGAAGCCGCAGGACTCGCGCTTCGGCTACGCGCTGGCCGCCGTGCCCGACCTCAACCACGACGGCTACAACGACGTGCTGGTGGGCGCCCCGCTTGAGGACGGCCACCGCGGCGCCGTCTACGTCTACCACGGCGCCCCGGGCACCGTCCTGCCCCGCTACAAGCAGGTGAGAGACGAGTTGGAAGCAACCCGGGGGTCTCGTGGTGCCATCAACCCCCAGGGGGGCTGTTAGTGCACGAGCCCAGGGGGGCTCGCCCCACGAGCACAACCTTATACGAGACTCCGGAGAAGCCCCAAGCCGCAGCCCCGGGCTCTCGCCTCCGCAGCGCATCGAGGCGGCGGCGCTGGACTCGGCCCTCAGCTACTTCGGGCGCAGCCTGGACGCGCGGATGGACCTGAGCGGCGACGGGCTGCCGGACGTGGCCGTGGGGGCGCAGGGGGCGGCCGTGGTGCTGCGGTGAGTGCGGGGCCACCGCGGCCACCGCGGCCACCGCCGCCGGCCTCTGAGCCGCCCGTCCCGCCCCAGCACCCGCCAGATCGTGCAGGTCAACACGTCGCTCACGGTGGAGCCGGCGGCCATCAGCGTCGTCGCGAGGAACTGCCGGCGCGGCGGCGCCGACGCCGTCTGCCTCCGCGCCCGGCTCTGCTTCCGCGCCGGCACGCGCGCCCGGGGCCCGCGCGACGGGGACATCGGTGAGAGCCGGCGGCTGCGGCACTGCGGTGTCCCCGGGGCGTCCCCGAGCACCCCTGGGTGTCCCTGAGCACCCCTGGGTGTCCCTGNGCACCCCTGGGTGTCCCTGAGCACCCCTGGGTGTCCCTGGGTATCCCTGAGCACCCCTGGGTATCCCTGAGCACCCCTGGGTGTCCCTGAGCATTCCCTGAGCACCCCTGGGTGTCCCTGAGCATCCCTGGGTATCCCTGAGCATGCCTGGGTGTCCCTGAGCATTCCATGAGCATCCCTGGGGTGTCCCTGACCGTCCCTGGGTGTCCCTGAGCATTCCCTGAGCATCCCTGGGTATCCCTGAGCACCCCTGGGTATCCCTGAGCACCCTTGGGTGTCCCTGAGCATCCCTGGGTGTCCCTGGGTATCCCTGAGCATCCCTGAGCATTCCCTGAGCATCCCAGGGTGTGCCTGAGCATCCCTGGGTGTCCCTGAGCATTCCCTGAGCACCCCTGGGTGTCCCTTACCGTCCCTGGGGTGTCCCTGAGCATTCCTGACCATCCCAGGGTGTCCCCAACTGTCCATGGGGTGTCCCTCAGCATCCTCCCACCATCCCTGAGGTGTACCCGAGTATCCCTCAGGTTTCCCTGAGCATTCCTTGAGCATTCCAAGGGTGTCCTGGACCATCCCTGACCATCCCTGGGGTGTCCCTGGGCATCCCCTGGAATGTCCCTGGGCATCTCCAGGGTGACCCTGAGCATCCTCTAAGCATCCCTGGGGTGCCCCTGAGCATCCTCTGGCCATCCCTATGGTGTACCCGAGTATCCCTCATCCCTTGAGCATCCCTCAAGCATCCCAAGGCTATCCCAGACCGTCCCTGGGGTGTCCCCGAGCATCCCCCGACCACCCCAGGGGTGTCCCCGGTGTCCGCCGGGCACCTCGCGCCTCACGGGGGCCTCGCCGGTGCCCCCGGGCGTCCTCGTCCCCCGCAGATCTGCGCTACAACGTGTCCCTGGAGGAGCGGGCGCCGGGCGCGCGGGCCGCCTTCGACGCCTCGCCGCGGCGCCGCCTGCACAAGCGGCTCGAGCTGCCGCTGGGGCGGCAGAGCTGCGTCCGCATCCCCTTCCACGTCCTGGTGAGCGCCGCTCCGGCCCCGCCGCTCCCGCCTGCCTTTCTCGGCACGCGCCGCCGGGGCCGGCACTGAGCGGGAGCCCGTGCCCGTGCCCAGGACACCTCGGACTATCTGCGTCCCCTCCCCTTCACCGTGACCTTGGAGCTGGAGGAAGCCGCCCCGGGGCCGGTGCTGGATGAGAAATCCGCCACGAGCGTGCGGAGGCTGGTGGGTGCGGGACGGAGCGGGGCCGGGGCGTGCGCGGGGCCGGCGCCCGAGCGGCCGCCTCYGCTCCCAGATCCCCTTCTTCAAGGAGTGCGGGGAGGACGACGAGTGCGTCACGGACCTGGTGCTGCGGGCGAGCATGGACATCGCGGGCTCCGGGTAGGGTCCCRGCGGGCGCGCTCCGAGCCGTGCTCCGAACCCCGCTCCGAGTCCTGCTCCGAATACTGCTCCAAACCCCGCTCCGAGCTCTGCTCCGAACCCCGCCCCGAGCCCTGCTCCAAATCCTGCTCCAAATCCTGCTCTGAGCTCTGCTCCGAACCCCGCTCCAAGCCCTGCTCCAAATCCTGCTCCAAACCCCACTCCAACTCCTGCTTCAAATCCTGCTCCAAATCCYGCTCCGAGCTGCTCTCTGAATCCCATTCYGAGCCCTGCTCTGAGTCCTGCTCCAATCCTGACTCCAAGCCTCGCTCCGAGTCCCGGTCTAAACCTTGCTCTGAGCCCAGCTCCGAGCCCAGCTCCGAGTCCTGCTCCAAGCTCCACTCCTAGCCCCGCTCCGAGCCCTGTTCCAAGCCCTGCTCCGAGCCGTGACGCGTCCCCCTCCACAGGCAGAGCCCCTTCGTGCTCCGCAAGGGCCGGAGGAAGGTGCTGGTGGCGGTGACCCTGGAGAACAGGCAGGAGAACGCCTACAACGCGAGCGTGCGGCTCCGCTTCTCCCGCAACCTGCTCTTCTCCAGCCTGGTGCTGCAGGTGCCCCCGCTGCCCCCTCCCGCCCCGGCCCCGCTCCGGCCCTGCTCCGGCCCCGCTCCGGCCCGACCGGGCTCGGCACAGGGCCCGGATGGGCCGTCCTGGCCAGGGGGCTGCCGCCGGGGACGGTGACAACGTCCCCCGCAGGACGGGAGCCCGGTGAAGCTGGAGTGCGCGGCGCTGGGCGGGCACGGCCGCCTCTGCACCGTGGGCTACCCCGTGTTCCGCGCGCGGGCCCAGGTAGGTGCCAGGGCCGCCCCGCGCGCCCGCCCGCGCCTCCTGCCCCGCTCACGTCTCCGTCCCGCCCAGGTCTCCTTCACCCTGGAGTTCGAGTTCAGCTGCTCCGTCCTGCTCGACAGAGCCGAGGTCGGGCTCGTGGCCAGCAGGTAGGAGACAGAGGGTGCCCAGCGGGTGCATGGGCATGTCAGTGTGCCCATGAGGGTGCACGGGCATGCCAGGGCGCACATGCATACCAGGGTACCCAGMGGGTGCATGTGCATGCCAGGACACCCATGAGGGTGCACGGGCATGCCTGGATGTGCGGGGGTGCACGTGCATGCCAGGGTGCCCAGTGGGGTGCATGTGCATGCCAGGGTGCAGGAGGGTGCACATGCATGCCAGGGCGCCCATGAGGGTGCACGGGCATGCCTGGATGTGCGGGGGTGCACGTGCATACCAGGGTACCCAACGGGTGCATGTGCATGCCAGGACACCCATGAGGGTGCACGGGCATGCCTGGATGTACGGGGGTGCACGGGCATGCCAGGGTGCACGAGGGTGCCTGCAAACGCGGTGCTGGGCCCATGCTTGGGGCACCCACGGGTGCCGGCTGGGCCGCCYGGCGCTGCCCTCGCGTCCCGCAGTGACAGCGCCGAGGCCGAGGCCACGCTGCAGGACAACGCGGTGCAGCTGGCGGCCGCCATCCGCTACGAGCCCGACCTCTTCCTCTCCAGGTAGGGCCGGGCTCGGGGGGTCTTTGCAGTGCTGGGGAGGGGGACAGTGACAGGGACGYGGCCACCCGCTCCTGTCCCTGCAGCGCCGCCACCCTGCACCGCTACGAGGTGCACCCGCGCGGCGCCCACGGCCCCGGGCCCGAATTCAAGACCACGGTCAAGGTAGGAGTCGCGGTGCCCGGACGCCTGGGCCCGTCCCGCGGCGGCTCATCCCTCCCTCGGCGCAGGTGCAGAACCTGGGCTGCTACGCGGTGCGGAACCTCACGCTGCGCATGGCCCTGCCGGCGTCCGGCTACCGCGGCGCCGCCTTCCTCTCCGTCACCCGCGTCATCGCCGGCAACGTGAGTCCCTCCCCGTGGCCTCGAGCCGGGGGACAGAGGAGACCCTGGCGCTGAGCTCGGCTCCCGTCCCCTCCGGCCAGGCCACCTGTGTCCTGCGCGGCCCCGGCGAGGAGCTGAGGGCGCCGGCGGCGCCGGTGCATCCCGAGGACCTGCTCCATGTGGACAGGCTGGTGAGGGGCCCGGCGGGTGGCGGCGACGGGGCTGTCCCCGCGTCCCATCGTCACCCGCTGCCCCGTCCCGCCGGCAGGACTGCAGCACGGCCGCGTGCCAGGTGCTGAGCTGCGAGCTGGGCCGGCTGCCGCGCGGCGCCGACGCCGCCGTCCACGTCCTCCGCACCCTCCACGACTCCTTCTTCCGCGCGGTGAGACGAGGGCGACGAGCAGGAGGAGGGTGGCGGGACAGCGGGGACA